CCTTGGCGCCCGTCCGCCGCAATGCCGCGTGAGCGCGGGGCTCTCGCTGGCGGCGCGTCGAACTCCGTGCAATGTAGAAAGCGGAACACGTACACGCACGTTCTGCTGACCAGACGCGGCCGCCGGAGTCTGCGCCGGCACCGCCGGCCGGATTCGATTTGTTGCTGGGTGTCTCATCCCCAGCTCGTCGGCTGGCTCGCCTGGCATGGCACTCACGCGTCGGGCCCGGGACCTACGTCGCCATCCCCGGCCGCCGCCTTGCGCGGCCGGCCTCGGCCTTTGCGCTTGGGCGCCGGGGCCTCTGCGACCGTGGTGGGGCCTGGGCCGGCCTCGGGGGCGGACCTGGCCGCCTCCGCCTTTTGCCTGGGCCGCCGCTTGGAAGGCGCGGCTTTGGGAGTTGCGGGTGCCGGCGGGGGCGCAGCTTCTGTCTCGGTCTCTGCGGCTCCTGGCGCCTCTTCTGCTTCCGCTTCTGCTCCCGTCGCCGCGGGCGCTTTGACCCGCCGGCGCGCGGCGCCGCCCTCCCCCTGCTCCGCCGCCTTGCGGCGCCGCTTCGGGGCCGCCGGCGCGACGGGCGGCTCGGCTTGCGGCTCGCCCGCGGGCTGGGGTGGCGGCGGCACCGCGGTGGCGGCCGTTGGAGGAGGCGGGGCCGCTGCTGCCTCTTGCTGCTGCTGCTGCTGCTGCTGTTGCGTCAGTGCGCCGGGGCCCGCGTCCTGGGTTCAGGCGGTGTGGGGTTGAGCAAGTCGGTCGCCCCCAGACAGGGTGTCTGGCGGTGTGCAAAGACCCCAGCACAACGCATTCAAATCGCGCGTTTCCACACGGACGATGCGGCGACACGCAAGTCAGGCCCGACGGCTGGCATCAAATTCAACTCAGATCAGATCGGATCATATCAGATCACCTGATCAGCAGCGGGCCCCGCCGCCATGAGGCCGTCCAGCCACTTGAAGAACTCATCCTCCGCCAGCGCCCGCACCCCCAGGATCTCCGCATCTGCCCTCTTGCGGCCGCCGCCCTCTCCGCAGACCAGCAGGGTGGTGCGGCTGTTGACGCCCTTCTGCACTGAGGCCCCCAGCTGTGGGAAGGGGGGAGGGCAAGATGGCAGCGCGCAGGGTCGTGAGTGCGTTTCCAGGTGTTGCAGGGTGTGCGGTGTTTGTGTATGTCGCAGGTGGTGTTGTGTGCGTGAGTGATGGTGTGTGCAGCCGACGGTCGGACGCCTCGAGCGGTTGGTGGAAAGGGCAGCGGACGCGAGGCGGGGCTTGAAGGGGCCGCGGGCAGCGCGTGGGAGTCTGCAGTGGTGGGCAGAGTGAGTTTCTGGGGTGCAGCGCAGGGGTCACGCCACCACGGAGCGTTGAGGGCGGCCGCGGGGCGCGGCGGCCGGCGTGCAGGCACGCGTGCACGGTGCTGTCGACCCCAGATTGTGCCCTGTTGGCAGAGGCATGTCTGTAGCCTGGATGCCTCATCGTGCAGCAACACCCACCCACCCTTTCACACCCACCCATCCACCCCTTTCACACACAGACATTCGACACTCAAACGAGCACGCGCACAAAGACACACACACACACATGCATATGCACACGTGGACACACACATTTCACAACACATGCACGCACACATACACACACACACACTCACGCAGGCATGCACTCAGATGCACCCGCGCACACAGCTGCCAACTCAGCCCCACCCGCACCTGACTGAGCAGCTTCTCGAGCTTTTGACGGCTGCCCCTCAGCGAGAATCTGCCTGCGCACCCAACACAGGCGGAAATTGCAGAGGCTGGTTCTCGGCAGCCAAGGAAACGGTTTACTCAATCCGCCACAACTCAGGCAACACCAGGACTGGAGCAGACCACAGATGGAAGAAGGTCCCAGGCAGGCATCGGTCCCCGCACCCGCAACAGCTGCGGAGAACCCCGCCCGCCATGGCAAGTCGAGACGCCTGACCCGGCCCCGCAAGCCTATGTAAACCCAAAGGCGGCCCCGCCCACCCGTGACAGCAATGTGCTCGTCCTTGAGCAGATCCGCCGGCGGCGCAGCCGGCGCCCCCGCACCCCCGCCCGCCTCCTCCAGCGGCACGCCGTTCGCCGCCGCTGCGCCGGTGCCAGTCCCCGCCGGCACCACTGAAACAGGCGCCCCCGGCTCGGCGCCGCCAGCGCCAGCTTCGGGACGTGCGTCCCTCATGCAGCGCAGCCCGACAGCCTCCAGCTCATTCAGGAGCTGCTTGGTGTCGGCGGATGAGAGCCAGGCCCGCAGGCTGTCGCCGGCCGCGCCGGGAACCTGCGCGGGGCGGGTGAGCGGGGCGGGGTATGGGTGGGGTGGCGGGGCTGCTGCGTCGGAAAAAGTTGCTGGTCCTGAACCTGCTGCGTGATGGTCTCCGCAGTCTCTCTCTCTTCCTGAACCCGCGGCGGCTCCTGTTGAAGTGACGCGCCGAGACCAAGACCTCAGACCAGGCCCCCACCCCCCAAGGCCAGGCCGCGGCGGACGCCCCACGCAGGGAGGGCAGCCGGGCGCCAGTCGTGTGTGATGGCTAAACGGAGCGCTTCCGCCGGCCGCCGCGGACAGGCGGGCAGCCGGCAAGCGGGGGCGCGTGCTGCCTGCACCGCTTGCCCCCTCTGCGCGCTTCGCTACTGTACGACCACGAAATGGACCATCCCATTTCACGACAGCGATACAAGGCGTATGTGTTGTGTGTGTGTGTGTGTGTGTTTGTGTGTGTGTGTGTGTGTATGTGTGTGTGTGTACTCAAAGCAATTCGATGGCGATGCCTCACCACGTGTGCGTTGTCTGCCAGGTGGCGGATGCTGCCCCACTGTTCCGCCAGGCTCTCAGCCATCTTGGGTCCCACCAGGCTGGGTGGGGGTGGGAGTGCAATGAGTGGGTGATGAGTCGATGTGGTGGAGTTTGGTGTCGCGAGTGTGGGTGACGGTGGATGGGGTGAACAGGGATGACAATTTGTGTGAGCATGCTTGTGTTGTTGTGCGCATGTGTCTGTGTAGAGGAGGAGATCAGCGGGGAGAGGTTGGGGGAAGCAAGACGGGACGAGGGGTCCTCAGTGATAGGTCAAAGGGACATGAGCGGAGCCGCCGACAGCGGGTCACGAGCTGAACGCAAAGGAACGAGCCCCGTTTCACGTCCCTGCTCAACCCCCGCCCTCCCCGTCCCCTCGCGCCCGGCCTCCATGCGCGTCGCCCGAAGCTCGATTCTGGAAACCCTGAGCCCTAGCCCCTAAACCCTGTCACAAGAAGCTACCAGGGGGTGGTGTCTCTCACGGAATGCCAAAGCCGGACAAGACGACAGCAGTTGGCAACCGCAGGCTGTTCCCCAGCGCCTGCAGGTAGGAGGCTGCCGTCTTGGGCCCCACCTTGTCCAGCGCCAGCCACTGGGCCTGGAGGGTGGGGACGTGGGGCAGAAGGTGTGTGTGTGTGTGTGCGCACGCGCGCGCGCGTG